GACCAGATTGTTATATTAAATTAGCTATGAAATGTATGGATAAAGATTTTGATAAACGACCTACTGCAACTGAAATTATTGAAATTTTCACTCATTGGTTAGAGCAGGAAGATGATAACGAAATCAGAAACAGATTTTGAAAGCTAATAAGATTAGACTGAAACGTTCAAGCAAATACATTCGCAAGATGTATATACTAGCAAGATATACGATACGAATAAATTTTCAGAATATATTAGTAACCGTAGAAATAGAGTACTTATTATCTAATTTAGATTTAAACTAAATTATAAAAAATTAAGTATAATTATGTAACACACTTAGGAAGGCGTACTTGTTATCAAAATTCTGTAATATTTGATCTCATATTGCGGAAAAATATTTTCTTCTCATTTAATTTTTTATCAGTCTGTTTTGGTAGCTTAGGGCGTTCTCAAGCGCCTCAATTAATGGATCAAAGTATGTCAAAAATGTGTCGGGAATAAATTTTAATTAACGGAAAATAATTTTAATCGATCAATCGAGCTTGCCATTAAGATGAGTAAGGTAGTTTATTACGTGAAAAAATTTTTTAAATACATTAGTAAAAAATGAACAGAGTGTTTGTCATTTCAGTCAAAAAACATTTTATCCCTGACCACCTTTTTTTTTTTACCCTGACTTATCAAAACTTAATACACTGACTCTCATAATTATTGTTACATTTCTTTTTTTTTTATTTTAGATCACGATACTTAATGTTTTATAGATCATATGACCGGCAAATTTAGGTGATGTAAACCCTACGTTTTAGATTTTAATCTGAACAAATTTGGTTAACACCTATTTTGTGGCTTTTTAAAAAACCTCCGATTATGCACTTTTCATATGGTGCAATAATTATGGATATTTATGTAAGTAAAATAAAATATGCATTATGATACATCAATGCCAAAAATGTATAAATACTTGCCAGATTAGTAATAGTAAGTATGCAAAAAACTAATATGACAATGAAAGAGATTTCAATTTCAAAAAGAAACTGTATTTCCACTCTTCTTGAAGAAGGTTATTCCAGCTGTACTATTGCTTTTCATGAGAAAGTAAGCAATAGTACGGTCTTAAGAATAAAAAATTTAAAGAAGCAAATTGGTTACTTGGATGTTTTACCAAGGCCAGGCTGCCCCAAAATACTTACCACCCACCACAAAAGAAGAATAGCATGGAATTTAGGTTGGACATATGCTTGACTGCCATCATAGCCCAAAAAAAACTAACATCTGATGAAGGTGTTTGTGTTTTCACAAATACAATCTGCCATGCACTATGGAGATAAGGTCTTGAATTTTGGGTAAAGAAAAAAAACCTCTACTTCAACCACAGACCAAAAAATTGTGAAGAAACTTTGCAAGAAAATATTGTAATTGGACCATCGAAGATTGGCAAAGGGTTATTTTTTCAGATGAAGCAAAGTTTAAGATTTTTAATTCAGATGGAAGAGAGTGGTGTTGGAAAGACCTGAATTCACCATTGTTACCACAACATGTAAAGCTAACAGTGAAATATTGTGGTGGGTCCGTAATAGTATGGGTTGTATAGGTGTATATGGTGTTGAAAACTATTGTAGAATTAAAAAAAATATGAATAAGAAGCTATATCATAAAATT